TTGGCTAAGCTTGTGCGTGTGCTCCTGCTCGAGCTGCCAAATGACTGCGCTGATTTGCTGGAATTACTTCGGAATTCACTCTGGAACCTTTTTTCACCTCATGAAACACCTCACTGGCCAGGCTGGTTCTGGAGGAGAAGCTCTGGAGCAGACACAGGTGTTTGGGAGCAGCCTCTCTCCTCCCAGGTGCTGCTGCTCCTGGTGCACCAAACGCTCCACACTGAACCAGGTCCAGGGAGCAACTTTGCAGTCACCCGTCCACAGATTCTCTGGAAGCCTCAGTACTAAAGTAACTCCCTTTAAAAAGCACAAGCTTTTGGTGAAACCACTTTTGTTGTGGTTCTCAAGGGACTTTCCCTCTGTGCAAGGAGCCATCCAGGCCCAGAGTAGAAGTGCACCAGGCTGAGGCAGTATTTTGGACAAGCCCAGCCCAAAAAAACCCACAACTTGAGCTACTTTTGTGAAGGTAAAACGCTGCTTTGGTTCCCCCAAGAGGTGTCCCTGGCACTGGGATAACCCCAAGACATGGTGTTTCTAAAGCTCCTGGCATCTGCAGGCTCGGGTTTCCAGAGGATGTTCCACAGGGCGGGATGCTCCACAGCGATGCCGATTACTGATGCTATTCCTGGTTAAACAAGAGCCAGAAAACAGGACCCCAGAGGCTGCTGAACCTGGGCACTGGGGATTTGCTCCCTGCTCCATGTGGGCTGTGCCAGGGGTGATGCCAGAGCAGGAGCAGCCTCCATTTCTCACCACATCACTGTGAAGCCTCAGGAGTGAAATCCTGCCCTGCCAGGGGTACTGGGGAAACCAGAGGTACAGAACCAGATCCCACAGCCACGGGCCCGTGTGCAGAGAAACCTGATAATCTAATCACATCTGAGATGCTACAGGTCCTGTCCAGCCCAGCCTGCCCAGCTCTGCTGCCAGCTCCCTCCTGCCTGTCAGCCCTTCTCTCGCCACAGCTTTGTTTCTTGCAGCCTAATGACTCTTTAATTCCGCAGGCTTTGTCCCATAGATCTTGATTTGCCCCAGGATCGGTGGGAGGGGGCACTTTTGGGAACTGTCGGGGCAGGAGCCAGCATGCAGAGCATGGCCTTGGCACGAGCAAAGCTCTCATCTGGTGTCTGAGCTGGAGCAACACTGCTCTTTTCATGTTTGGAAAGACGGGAAAAAGGCACAACTGAGCCCTAAGCAGGACATTGCTTTGGAAGGACAGCGATTTCCTCCCGCACTAAGTCCTGCAAAGCCTGGGCTGACAATTTGAGTGCTGTTTCTGCCTCACATTTCCTGATGGATATACAAATCCAATATACGTGTTGCCAGGCTGTGACCTCCTTTGGTCACAGGAGGATGCTCCAAAGTGTCCCCACAACTGTGCACCAAGTTCATTGTGTCTTGCAGTGACAAAGGGTACAAGTCACATAGCAACAGGTGAGATGGAGGTGTCCAGCAGCTGCTCCTGACTCAATTAATGACTTTTCCCACTTATGTTCAGAAAAACACAGGCGTTTTCCACCTTTTATCCACATCATCCCTACCTAGCACCGTGACCCAGCAGCTGGCAGGCAGATCCCTGCAACATGAGAAGAAATGTATTTGAGAAGATGGATGGACCCTGTGGACCCACCTCCCTCTCTTCCTCCTGTCCACAGGATGCTGGTGCCCCTGTCCATAAGTGTCCCTGTGGGAGTCAGACCCCCCCAAAATCCCAACAAATGGGAAATGCAAACAATAAACCCCAGAAGTGCATCTTCATGATTTACTGTCCTTCAGCCACAGGGATTTCTGGGGTTAGTTGTAAGAGTAACAAATAAAACATTTCCAAAGAGTGATTTGGAAGTTGACAGTGCTGCACAGGTATAACAACATGTGCAGAAAGTGGGATCTGCCCAGGAACGATCCCCAAGCAGAAAATAAAGAGGCAGAGTATTACAGCACTGAGTAATCTCAGCATCTGAATTACACACAGACCCCACCATTTCATGGGATTCCTATCTCCCAGGGAGACTTTGGTCCAGTCTTTCCCAATCTCCAGGCACAGATGGATCCAGGGCTGGGATGCCTAGGATGCTGTTTCCCCTCCCGGCAGCACCTCCCTTTTCTCCCCAAACCTGAGGGCAGCTCTCAAGATGATTTATTAACAGGGAATTATGTGTCTCCTAAAATCAATCCACAACACTCAGATGCTTCAAAACTTTTAGCTTGGGGTCAAACCTGCTGCTGTAAGAAGGAATTGGCAGCTCCAGTTGGGATTTGGTGTTGCTGTTGTTTGAAATGAGGTGGAATAAAGAGCCAAAATCACTGGAGTGGTTTGGCTGCCACAGAGTTCGCTGTGAGCTGTCTGTTGAGCCAGACTTCTTAGGCACCGAATTCCAGAGGGATCCGTGGCTCTGCAGAGGAAGGCTGTGAGCAGGTGAGCTGGAGCTGCTGTGCTTCCTCATCTTCTATTTTCCAGCTGCTGTTACAGAATGGCAGGGATGCAAATGGGAAGCAGCACTAACCCTCCATGCACAGCCCCGCTCCCATGGTCCTGTGTCCCAGAATTATCATTTAAATCCTGTTTCTCCAGCTCCAGAGCTCATGCAGCCAGAATCCTGCTGTGAGGGCTCTGCAGGAGTTCTCACACTGGCTGAACTGCACATTCCACTCTGTTTTCCTCCACTCCTCTCCTGTTTTCCTGTTATTTGCTCTCAGATGTTATCACCATCAAGCAATAGCTCTGCCATCCCTCACAAACAGGTATCATCCAGCATCTGGATGGGAAATACAAATTCAAACTGCTTCAAAAATCCCGCCAGCCACATTTTTCCAAGGCAATGAGTAACTGCAGTCCCTGCTCACGTCCAGAAATCACGAAATCAGGCCAAAACTCCCTCCTCACCACAATGCTGGAGGGGTCTGGCATTAGCCTCAATTCACAGATGGGGAACAGCCATTGAGAGGGAAAAGCTGAATCTCATGGATGCAAAAGGCTGGAGTAAGACACATAAATATGGAGTGAATGGCCTTAAACAAAGCAGCCTGATTTTCAGGAGCAACCAAAAGGATGGGAGCTGTGAAGGCTCCGGTGGGAGTGTGTAGACTCAGGCACTCCCATGGGAATTTCCCAGTGGGTGGCCCAGGGGAGTGTGCACAGGTTGTCCCTGCTCCTCCTGCCTCCTGTTCCCAAGTGCTGCCTGTGGAACGCAAGGCTGGAGCTCACAGATGCTCTAAGGATGCTCTAAGGATGCACTGACACAACACGGAACCAGTTTGAGAGGGCTGAGTCCTGCCACTGCCTCCAGCTCTGAATCTCCCCAGCACATTTCCTGCTCTCCCATCAAGGATGTTAAACCCAGGGACACTTAATGGAGACTCACTGAAGCACGGCTCTGTTTCTACGTATTTTGGAGTCCCAACATGATGATTATTTTCTCACCTCTTTCGCTTCTCTCTCTGGGTCTCCCAGCAGCGGTGGATGCTAAGCCTGAATCTGGAATGTTTATGCTCCACCAGACATGACACAGGGAGATCCTGATCCTGCTGGGCCCCTGGAAGCAGGAGCAGCACAATGGACAGCACCAAACTCCCTGTGCAAGTGGAGCAGTAGGACCAAACTACTCAGAGCAGGCTGAATGCTATGTCCCTCGGAAACATGAGGAATTTGGGAAGCAGACTGTGATTACCTGCCTTGGCCCAGGCCCAGAATGCAAGCACAGGCTCCTGCTCAAACCCAGCACCTCACCAGAGCGACCCTTGGAGCAGTGGCCAGGATCTCACCAATGTGCCCTTGGTGAAAGACACTTCGGTGTCCCAGCACTGCTCTTGGTGCTGCTCCCACACTTTCCCAGGGCATGAACATGACTTCAAGAGCTTCCCTGCAACTCCAAGTGTCCCTCAAAACTCCTGTCCCAGAAGAAGAGCAGCCAACCCTGTTGTACTACCAGGAAGGAAGCTCTGCCACCATCCCTGTGGGGACAATGCTGTCACACCGCCCAAGACACAGCTCCGAGCAAGGGAGGCAGGTTTAATTCTGGAGACCATTGCTCTTCCCAGAGGTGATGTCTGGAGGTGAGCCAGGCAGCTTGCAGCAGGTGGAAGCTGGAGGCACCACGGGCTTGTAAGAATGGAACATCCAGCAGAACCACACTGGGGGTCTTATGGAGATCCAACCACAACTCTCATCTGGGAGAGAAGATGGCTCCATACTGAGCCTCGATCTCTTTGATGCTGGGAGATGCAACCAACCCATCAGCTTTCAGAACAGGGGCTGTACCCCAGGGCTGGGAACACTCAGTGACACTGGGGAGAACACCAAGATGGGAGGCACATCCCAGCACTCCTGGGTCAGCTCCCTGGGCAGAAAGGGTGGAAGAGCTGGAAAACAGCAGCTGCATACAGGGATGGGGCCCTGAACCACGGTTCATCTCAGGTCACCACTGGTCTAATGACAGCCAGGCAGAACCCTGGGCTGTCCCAGGAGCAGCAGCAGATCTGAGGCAAAGGTGAGGGGCCCCACAGCTGCCCCAGCTCAACCCCTGTGTGCACAGGGGTGCACATGGAAAGGGGTGTGGATGAGGCTGGTAGGGATTGGGGTGTCACGAGTGAGGTGCTTGGACTGAGGTAGCACGTCAGGATTGGGGTGTCAGGAGAGGGGTGTTGGGGGTGGTGTGTCAGGACTGGGGTGCTGGGAGTGAGGTGTCAGGAGTTGAGTGCTCAGACTGAGGTGCTGGGAGAAGGGTGTTGGGAATGGAATGTTGGGAGCTGCCTGTGTGTGCAGAGGTGTGAAGGGATGTGTGAGTGCTCATTCAGGCCAAGTCCTGCTTTGCCTTCTCTGCCACACCACCCTGTCCAGCCTTCCCAAGGGTTCCAGACCTGTCCCACCACCACTGCCACGAGAGGTCTGGAGAGCAGAGGGAGATCTCAGCCTGCAGGAAGGTGTGAGAGCAGGGGGACCACGGTACCCCCACAGCACAGAGCCCCCTGCGGCCCAGCTCACCCGGGACGGCCCCTCGTACCTTGCAGTCCGTCAGGCAGGATCTGACCGAGTACTCTTCCGATTGCAAGTACTTCTCCAGCAAGAGGTCGAACTCCTCATATTTTTCCTGAGCGTGTTGGTCCAGCCGCTGGTACGCCTGGACGCAGCTGCTACAGGCCTCCCCGCCCAGCGCCCCGGCCGCCGCCACCACCAGGTCCACCATCAGGTTGTCCAGGCTGCAGTCCAGGCCGTCGGGGCCGGCCATCTCTCGCAGCAGGTCCCAGATCGTGTAAGTATCACAAAAGGAGAGGTTGAAGTTCCTGAAGTAAGCCTGCAGGAAGGTCCTTTTGGAGGAGGGCGAGGCGAAGAAGGGCGCGGCGGCGGCGGCGGCGGCGGCAGCGGCGGCGGCGGGGGGCGAGCGCAGGGGCGCGCCGGGGGCCCGCGGGCGCTGCGGGGCGAGCAGCCGGGCGCACGCCGAGTCCAGGTCCCCGCGGGCGGCGGGGCAGGGGCCGCCGGGGGCGCGGCTCAGGTTGACCCGC